AAGAGAGATTTCTCGGCCATTGATCCACAATACGAAGAAGTTGATTTCAAAACAAAAATAATGCCTTCTCCTGATTCATTTCAAGCTGAGAAAGAAGTCGAAAAAGCTGTTGAAATGAGAGAGAGTGGACATATCAGTGATCCAGGGATCAGCAGGGCTGAGTTCCGAGCTTCTCCGAAGCTTAAAAGATCGTGCTCGAATTTAGAGGCTCGAGAAGTTCAAAGAAAGGTGGATAAATCCTTCGAAGAATCGCAAGGGGTGCCTTCGAGTCCGGCTTCTGTAATGACTCATTGCAGTGCTGATAGAGTGATGTTGAAAAAACATTCTTCTAGTCAAGTTCTGCCTTCAAGAAGCAGAAGGTTATGGTGAAAATTGTTCCTATGGAGTCACCAAAACTTGCACAAACTTTGGACAACGAAACCAGCATGGCATCTTACCGTCTCAGCTTCTCCGAATCAGCATTGTGGGTACTCTTCGGATACATTTGAGGTACATCAAGCAAGGAAAATAAGCAAAATGGAATCACCTGGATCATTTACTGTAGGGACCTTGAATAAAGATTTTAGTGGTCATTGTGATGACAACACAAGCTGGAATGGTTTTCACAATGGACTAGTTTCTGGTTTATGGCCCCAGAAACAATGGGTTGCATTGCCCGCTACGCCATCTTCGATGTCGAGAATCGATAAGTGGGTGAGAGATCTCGAAATCAAAATTACTCGGCCTTCTGATGATGTGAATGGTGAAGAGGATGCAACTTTTCCTCATAATGATAAATCACCAGGAAGAAACACAGACCACTCGCCTCACCGTTCAGATACCGATCTCTCTGAGGCGATTTTGCATTTCAATAATGTCATTCAGACTCTCAATTCCTACTCAACCGTTGCTCACATATCAGGAATATGTTTGAAAGCCATTCCAATCATCACAGGGTTCACCAGACTTCGATCTGTCAATTTATCAAACAACTCCATAGGTAAATCTCTAAAAAAAATTGCACAATTCATTAAGATGCTAATTGGTTTAGACTCACATATGTGACATGTCCTTGCCTGTACAGGCCATATCACTCCAGGATCACTACCAAAGAGCCTTCACTCGCTCAACCTGTCAAGAAACAAGATCAATTCCATCGAAGGACTTCGAGATCTAAGGCGATTACGAGTGTTGGACCTCAGTTATAACTGCATTGCTCGATTCGGACATGGTAAATCACCTAGTGAACCCATCTTTTCTTTCTGCATGAAATGCTTATAATTTCTAAACCGTAAGTAGGGTTATCAAACTGCACCTTGATCAAAGAATTATACCTCGTCGGGAACAAGATGGGTGATCTCGAAGGCCTACATAGGCTGCTGAAGTTAACACTGTTAGACCTGAGTTTCAACAAGATAACGACAACGAAAGCATTGGGTCATCTTGTTGCGAACTACAACTCATTGCAAGCACTAAATCTATTGGGAAATCCGATTCAAAGTACCATTAGCGACGATCAACTGCGAAAGGCGGTTAGTAGCTTACTCCCGAAGCTCACGTACCTGAACAAACAGCCCATTAAAGCGCAGAGGGGAAGGGAAGTGGTCAGTGATAGCGTTGCCAAAGCTGCTTTAGGGAGTGGCAATTGGAGCCCTAGAAGGAAAACAACAAAGGGAGGTAGCCATGGTGGATCAACATCTCCTAGTATGCATAAGAGCAGTAACAATAATAGATCCAAGAGTCCTAATCGCCATCACTTGTCTTTGATGTCACCTGCTCAAGCTTCTCCATCCCTTTAGATATTTTTATGCCCGGGAATAGATATGGATGCATGATTTTATGTTGCAAACTTTAAGGAATTTAATCTGTATTCTAAAGCTATGACAGAAACATGGTGTGGTGAGATAATGATAACTGGGCTTTGTTTGATGGCCTAAAATAATTGGGACCAAATTTGAAATGTATCAAAAAGAGAGCATTTTATCAGTTCCATCTTAAAGCCTTTGATGTTAGAAAGTAATTATTTTCATAAAAATATTAAGTTAATTATCGGTGAAATCAACTCTAACTTGATTGAGAATAGAAGTTTCTTAATAAAAAAAAATTAAGAAGGGCCTTTACTTTAGATTTGGATGCTAAGAAGTGGCTATGGCAGAAGATGTTGAAACTTGGAGGGCTTCTGCAATTTCTAAAGGTTCATTGTCTTTGGTTTTCTGCTAAGGATTTTTGTGATCAGCTGAGATTTAATGGTGAGAAAGTTCCATGGAAGAATTTAGGCCGGTGCAAGATGCAGATTCCTACACATTTTTCTGTTTCCTAATTTAAATAGTGATCCGACCACGATAGCGTCCTCTATATAGCAGTATTGGTGTCCTTCCCAATCGTTGTTATATATAATCACCATATTCATAATCACAATAATAAAGTCTATTATTATGTCTACAATCATGATAAATACGAAACCACAATTTAAATCCTTTGGGAAGGATTCAAGTTGATACTCATTGTTTATCATGTGGAGCATCAGAAGATTCGAGATAGCATCTTTTGTCCGACTGAAATTATTAATAAGATTTAAGTGTGACGTATGTAAAATTTTATGAGATGAATATAAATTTAAAAATTATATTAAAAATTTATGTAATATAAAAATATAAAATTTTAAGAATGTAAAATTAAATTATTAATAAAAAAATATAATAATATATAAATATTATATGAAAATTTAAATTCTTTATAAATACGATTATACTCTAATACCTGAGGATCTATCCTTTTTTTTAGAGTTAATTTTAATTAATTACAACATTTAAACTTGGAAAAAGGTGAAGTAAACCATTTTTTATTAAATAGAGAAGTGTTATATTTTAAAGATAAATATTGAGATTTAAATTTAAATAAAATAAAACAATATCAATATTGTATTTACTCAATCAATTAATAAATTTTAAGTGAATTAAAGTATTGATAGGTGTAAAGAGTGAATGTCCTTAACATTTTGGTTTTTTTTTTCGATCAAAGAAGTCGTTAACTTTAGTGTTGGTATTGTTATGGAATATATATGAAATAGAATGTTACCTAAGAAGAAAACAAGATGGCTTTGTATATGTTAAACTTCTTGTTAGAAATCGTTTAATAGGTTTAATTATAAAACAAATGTTAAAATTATATCATTTTTTAAATAAGTGCTCAAACTTTTTTTAAAACATCTAGATGTCTAATGTTTCAAACATTATCATTTTAGGTGTTTGGGATATAACGATCGTTAAAAAAAATCGATAAGTAACACGTGTCAGGCTCTAGTAATTTTAAATTTTTTTTAAAAAATTTAAAATTATTATATTTATAAAAAAAATCCTATTTCTAAATTTCCATAAAAAAATCACTAATCCCTACAAATCCCAAATATCTAACCCTAACGTCCCTTGTTGACCACAACCACTGTCACCAACGTCGCCCTTGCCATCTCCTTGATCAGTCATCATCTCCTTTGTCTTCATACGCATTATTGAATCACCTGGGTATCGTGAAATCGGGGGCAAAACCCAGCTCTTTTCCTGTTTAAGTGAATGAGAAACTATTATCTCGTGTGGTTTTCACCTCCGTATGGGATAGGGGACTATTCTTTGAGTTCACACCTTATGTTCCTCGTGTGGTTTTCACCTCCGTATGGACATAAGGAAGTGTGTTCCTTCGAATTGAACTTAATCCAAAAGTCTGTAATGGACTAGGATTGAGGGCTTGGCAGTCTAATGGGACACCAACAAAGGACAATTCGTTGATCCTCTTACTCTAGAGCCAAAACCCAGCATATAGTAAAACTTAGAACTTAAGTTCAGGCAAAACCTAACCCAAATAAGTCTTGTAAAGTTAGCATACAAGGAAAAGCATGTTGAGTCTTTTGTTTATTTTCTAAATAAATGCATGTGAACTAGATTGCATGAAATTAGGATTTAATTATTTTGATTAATTTTATGATCTATTTTCATTTCTGCATTTTGCATTTTCATATCATGGTGTTGATTCATGATTGATTTCATATAGAGAACTGGAAATATAGAACAAAGAGTCCAATATTAAGTAGAAGACAATATAGTTTTCTTAAGATGGTCTGAGATGTCTCAACTTATCGAGGGAAATAGTTTATCACATGGGTACGTGTCATATTTGGTCAAATATACACATATCAATGTTCGCCAAAATAACATGGGTGAGTTGAAAGAAATCTGGGAAAAGTGGGAAGCAACAGACAAGCAGTTATTTCATCAGTTATATGGCGACATTGCTTATCTTTGGACATCCCTATTGACCGACATCTATTCAGAGCCCTATCACAATTTTGGAACCCTGCTTATAGTTGCTTCACCTTTGGCAAGGTAGATTTGACATCCACTATAGAAGAATATCGAGCTCTTATTCACTGTCCAAGAATCTACGAACACATGGTATATATCAAGCCACCTAATACTGCTCCTTTCAAAAAGAAAGTGCTCTTATTAACCAGGATGAGTGAAGAATGGACTACAAGACATATCAATAAAAAGGGTGATAGTGAATGCATTACTTGGACTACCTTGAAAGAAGTAATCTACCGCCATCCTGACAAAAGGAAGCAGATTGATATGCTGGCTTTAGGAATTTATGGATTAATCATTTTTTCAAAGATTCTAGGGCATGTGGATATATCAACTGTAGATCTGTTTGAAAGATTAAACAAGAATGCAGATCCAGTTCCTGCTATATTAGCTTAAATATTTCGTTCCTTGAATTCCTGCAGACACGAGGGAGAGGGACGTTTTATAGGATGTGTATCTCTATTATTGGTATGTATTCTGAATCATTTTAAACATGAAAAAAGAGCTCCTGGATGGGTATTTCTAGAAGACTTCTCACCAATACAAGATTTCCTTTCTTGTAAATGGCCTGGAGGTTATGATGAAGAAAAATGGATGAACATCTTTTGAAATCTCGAAGATAAAGACATATTATGGCGAGCTTCATGGAATACTTCTTCAAACATAATGTATAAGTGTGGAGAGCATGATTGGGTTCCCTTTTCTGGCATATATGGTTCCGTAGGATATGCACCTTTGATGGTCTCCAGACAATATGGATCCAGGCAGTTTATTCCTGCGACATCTGGTTTATCTGAGTCAGAATTTGCAATCAGGAGTGATCAATACAAGGAAAAGATTAGAAAAGTTGTTGAGGCCTGGAAATGGATTCATCGAGTAAATTTATTTACTTTGAGTCAAAAGCTCTCACTCGAATACGAACAATGGAGAATCAACTTAATCAACGACAAAATTCGAGTGGTTAATTCCGAGAATGTTCAACCCATCAAAGAACATTTGAGAATTATAATGTCTCCCTTGATGCTGACAAAACAAGATTTCGAGATCGAAAGAAAGCATTGGAGAAAGACTATGCAAAAGCTTGAAGAAATTGAGATAGATATACATAAAGGGAGAGCAGATCAAGTTAGCAAGGTTGAAAAATAGCTCAGGATAGATATCAATGATCTCTAGTCAACATATCAATGGGTGGTAAAAACTCAGATTGCTGAAGGATCAAGCAAACAAGAGTCAACAGGATTAAAAAGAAAATCTGAAGAAGGTAAAGAGGAGCTCAAACAAAGAAAACACCAAACCAAGATGCTTGCTAAAGAAAAGGAGGCATTAGAGAAAAGATTATTGGAAAATCAAGCACAAAACCATAGACTAAAAAGCAAGATTGAAGAGTTGGAAACTGCACTACAAAATCAAGAAAGTAACTCGGAAGCTAAAAATCTAAGGAAGCAAGTGAATGAGCTAGAAACAAAAGTCCAAGATCTTCAGAGAAGGGCGAATCAACTCCCTATTTTCCCGTACGAAGGAATTTTGCAATAGCGATACCGTTGGAAACGCGCTCAATGGAAAGTCAAACAAAGAGACGACCTCATTGCAAAGTATCTGGATCAAGTTCAGGGAGTGGCGCAATATTTATTGGACCTGGCATACGAAGCTAACACTTTGAATGAAGAATTAGAACCAGGAACTGAAGAAGCTCATAAGGTCTTTGAGTTACTTGTACACATACAATAGTTAGGAGAAGCTGCCAGATGTATCTGTGATGTACTATGTTTTAAAAGCTTTGTAATAAGAATTTGTTTTAATATAAAAGTTGTTCTAAAGAAACCATCTTGATATCAACACCTTGCATTTATATATTGAGCATAAACATTTTGACATTATATTTTTCATCCATATTCATTAAAAAAGTTTTTCTTCTTTTTCGAAAAATACTGGACCCCCTAAGCATCCATATAATACCAGAAAAAGGGAAATGGACGATAAGGTCGCTCAAATTGAAAGGAATAAGCTTGAGATGCAAGAGAATTTCAAGAAAATTAAAGAAGAAATTCATGAACAGTTAATGAAATCCCAGAATGAGATTATGGAAAAATTTACAAGTATGTTACAAAGAAGAAGCATGGATCAAACAAATGCCCCAGCTGTTGGTACTTTCACTGAAGATCCTTTATATCCTCCAGGCTTTACACCAAAAGAAGATCATCTAAAAACTAAAGTATCTGAGGAACCTTTATACCCTCCGGATCATACAACCACTCATGTTAAAGCCCAGTCCGGAGCATTTACTCAAAAAGGGAGGGTAAACATAAATTTACCTAGTGCTTCCATAAACCAAGAACAAGTTGAGAATGTTCTAGATTTTGATCAAGAAGTAAAGAAAGAGTCAAATAAACAACTGGAACAACTAATGGAAGAGGTTAGGGAAATCAGGGAAGGCTCTAATGTGTATGGAATTAAAGCCAAAGAATTAAGTTTGGTACCTGATTTTGTATTGCCACCTAAGTTCAAAATCCCAGATTTTGAAAAATTTGATGGTATGAAATGTTGTTCTACCCATATCACAATGTTTTGCAAAAAAAAATGACAGGTTATATAGGGAATGATCAACTACTAATCCATTGTTTCCAAGAAAGCTTAAATGGTTCAACCATCCAATTGTATAACCAATTAAGTAGGGCTCATATTAAATCTTGGAAAGATTTGGCTAAATCCTTTTTGGAACAATATAAGCATGTGAAGGATATAATGCCTAATCGAATGGTACTGCAAAACATGGAAAAGAAATTCAATGAAAGTTTCAGGTAATATGCCCAGAGATGGAGGGACATAGTTATACAGGTACATCCACCCATGGAAGAAGAAGAAACAAATACGCTCTTTGTGAATACTTTGAAAGCTCCTTTCTTTACTCACCTCATAGGGAATTCTTTCAAAAGCTTTGCTGACATAGTTACATCAGGTGAGATGATTGAAATGGAGATTAGGAGTGGGAAACTTGAAAGTGGTGAATCTAGCAAGAAGCCATTCATGAAAAAGAAAGAAAGTAAGATAAATGATGCAAGGAAATATGAGTCCAATACTATCACAGTGTCTCAACCTCAGGATATTGGATCTTCTACACTAAACTTCGCCAAGCAAGAAACAAGGGAAACAAGGGTGGAAAGAGATAAATTTCAGTTTGACCCAATTTCGATGACCTACAAAGAGTTATACCAGATATTATATGACAAACACATAATATCACCCTATCATGTATTACCTATACAACCTTCGTATCCTAAGTGGTACAATGATAACTTGCAGTGCGAATATCGTGCAGGAGCTCGTGGGCATTCCATCAAAAACTGCATCGCATTCAAAAGAATTGTTCAAAGCCTGAGAACAAAGAACATCATAATTTTTTGTGATAAAGAACAACCAAATGTGGCTCAAAATTCATTGCCAAGTCATACATGAACAGGGATCAATACAGTTATTGAGGAAAAAAGAAAGCATGTGATAAGGCAAATCAGTGAAGTAAAATCACCTATGCTATGGGTATGGACTCAAATGATTAAAGTGGGTTTGTTTAAATATGATCTGTCAGCAGAACAATTAAGCTATGGAAATATATGTCATTATCATGGTTATGAAGGACATGGCATACAACAATGTTCAAATTTTCAGGCTTTGTTACAAAAAATGGTGGATGAAAAGGAGATGGAATTTTTCAAGAAAATATCAGAAGAAAAAATGGATATTTGTGTATTTGAGGGATCATCTAAAGAGTTTTATAACTCTAGTCACCCTCTAATTATCACACCAAGGACTCAAGTACTAGATAAGAAATCTCCAAAAGTGGTTATCACTTCACCATCTCTGTTTCCTTATAAAGATGACAAGCAGGTTTCATGGAATTACGAATGCCAAATGAAGGAAACAGTGGGAGAAAATGAAGAAGTTGATGAAGTTGGACATTTTACCCGTAGTGGGAGATATTATTCTAAGGAATCTGAGAAACAAGGTCTAGTAGATAAAGGGAAAAAGGTCAAGCTACAGTTAAAAGAGGATGAAACTATCATCAATGAACATGTAACTGAAAATGAAGCTATAGAATTCTTGAAGTTTCTCAAGCACAGCGAATATAGTATTGTTGAATAGTTACACAAATTACCAGCTCGTATATCAGTTTTAGCACTTTTATTAAGCTCTGAAGCACATCGTAATGCTTTCCTAAAAGTGTTGAATCAAACTTTTGTACCAAAGGAATTGTCTGTAAACAAATTGGATAGGCTGATTGAAAATATATAGGCTGAGAATTTCCTTTCTTTTTCCAAAGATGAAATTCCTTCTGAAATGAATGGTAGCCCTAAAGCTCTGCATATTACAGTTAAGTGCAAATGACACATTTTATCTCGAGTGTTAATAGATAATGGCTCTGCTTTGAATGTAATGCCATTAGTGACTTTGAATAAATTACCAATTGACAGCACACTTATGAGAAGTAGTCAGAGTATTGTCCGAGCTTTTGATGGAACCAAGAATGAGGTATTAGGAAAAATCGATATTCCCTTAACTATTGGTCCAACTACATATGAGATAGAGTTCTTTGTAATGGATATTATACCCACTTATAATTGTTTGTTGGGAAGACCCTGGATTCATCAAGCAGGGGTAGTTCCATCTACGTTACACCAAAAGATAAAGTTTGTAATAGATTGTAGGCTGATATGTCTTAATGCTGAAGAAGACATCATCGCTTCAGTCTCTACCACTGCTCCATATGCCGAATTGGATGACGAAGCTATTGAATGCTCTTTTAGATCCTTGGAGTTTGTCAACGCAATATTTGTGGCTGAGGGGAAAAGTATACCTAAACCCAAAATTTCCAATTTCACAAAAATAGGACTCAAGTTGACCCCAGAAAAGGGGCAAAAATTGGAAAAAGATTAAGAAACTATTTGCAAGGACCAGTGAATCCAATCTTTCCTATTTCCAAGAAGGATCGATTTGGTTTGGGATATCAGCCAACACTAAAAGAGAGACGGAGGGGCATTAGAAGGAATCAAGAATTAAGAAAGGCGAAGTTAGCTGGAGAAGATCTCACATGGGAACCAATGACCTTTCCACCATTAAATGATACTTTTGTATCGGGAGGATGTGTTTTCCAAGAAGATCAGCAAAGAAAAAAGCTGGTTGTTGAAGATGCTTTGAAAGAAATGAGTATCAATGTCATATTAGATGATGAATTTGCAGAAGTTGTGGGCATTTACCCCGCATCATCAAACTTTCAGTTAAATAATTGGACTGCGGAAGAATTACCTGTAGTTTTCAAATCTTTTTCAGAGTAATACACCAAAACTTTTGTTGAATTAATCGATCGACGAAATAGCCAAGAGGGGGTGAATTGGCAATAAAAATTTTAGAGGAATCTTTTGCAGAAAATAAAAAATAATTTCACAGTGATTTAGAATGGTTCAACTTTCTCAACCAAAGTTTACTTCCACTACCTTAGCTATCCACACTAAGGATTTTTTCATAAATTCACTAATTTGTCTTTCTTTTGATGACAAAGTGTAACCTTACAAATCCCTCAAGAATTATACCCCAAATTCTTGAGAACACGCTCTCCCAAAGAGAACAATACAAATTTCGCAAACTTACAGAAAAACCTCACAATGAAATATGTTTGCACAATTGTAGAACAAAGAAAGAACACTCAAGAATAATAAAATTGAGAACAATAAGTGTTCTTGAAAGGAAAAATGAATATTGAATGAAAAATAGGCTTGAAAATGCTCAAACTTGGGGTTTGATGCTTTCTCTTTGATTCTCTCTCAATTATTCTTAATTATTATTGATCAATAGCTCCTAAGCTTATTTAAATACACCTTGGATCATTGTTGAATGTTGGGGATCATTGGTGAAGTCAATAGAATCGTTATTGTGTGAAAACAATTAAATAAAACAGTTGGAAGCATGGGGGTATCGGTACCCCTTCTATGGGTATCAGTACCTGCAGTGTAAAATTCATATATTTCGATCGTTAAATGTCTAGGGGTATCGATACCTCCAGGGGGTATCGATACCTCCAGGGGGTATCGGTACCCATAGGACATTTTGTTTTTCTCATAGCCAGATCTTGCATAGGAGTATCAGTACCCTATGAGGGGTATCGGTACCCTCTGGGCAGTCAGTTTTCTCGAAGCCCTTCCTATTCAAAAATTATTTTTTGCTTGTTTAAGGCTCGAAATACTTTGTAAAACTGTTTCAAAACGATGAAAACATAAATTTACACTTAAGTAAGGTTTGAAATTGACATTTGAAAAAACTTGGAGTAATATGTTAATATTCGAATAGTTTAATCGAATATATTTTCAAAAATGATTATAAAATCTTAAAAACCAATAACACTTAATTTGTTATATCGAAATATCAAAATGTTTTCAACAATCTCCCCCTTTTTGATATAAAAAAACATTTTAATAAGTTTAAGATTTTCTTGTTGAAAATCATTTTTGAAGTCGATTTTTGAAAAATTACTCCCCCTTACTATA